GGGGGGCGGTTCACAGATTTGAGTAAGATGTGACCCCTGGCCTCTGCTCTCCTTTGGGGAAAACTGGATGTGTATCTAGTTCAGCATTTCATTCAACACTCACTGACTGCCAACTCTGTGCCCCAGATGCCTCATGCCGAGCAAGGGATATTGCCTAGTTTTTCAGTATCAGGCACTGTGCTAAGCACATTGTATGTGTTAATTCCTTTAAACCTCACAACAGTCCTATAAGGCCTGTACTATTATTAGCCCCCACTTACAGATGGGAAAACCAAGGCACTCAGAGATTAGGTCACATAGTTTAGAAAATAAGAGCCAGAATTTGAGCCCAGAGAGTACGGCTCCAGAGCCCTGGCACTTAATCACTGCACCCTAAAAGAAGGGCAGGCACAACATGAGGGGTGCTCAGAGGCAGGAGAAGTTAATTGTTCATTCCCACTGAGGAGATTATAGAAGGCTTCCTGGAGGAGGTGTTTTTCATCTGGGTCTAGGAAAATCAGGAATTGTCAGGCCAAGATGGGCATGAGGAAAGAATGGAAGGGGTCCTGGTGTGTGTGTAAGAGAGGTTCTCAAACTTTGTCACTGCAGCCTCTCCCATCTCTTCTCTCCCCTCTTGTTTGGGTGACAAGTGAGATAACATATACAAGCATTGAACATTCAACAAATGTTTACTGAGTGCCTCCTGTGTGTCAGCTCACAGAGGATCCTGGAACAAGCAAAGCAGATACAGCCCCTGCCTTTGTGGACCCTGTAGTCTGGTACACAGTAGATGCTTACTAAATGGTAGCCTCTATTATTATCATTATTCCTAGAGGCCTGGGATTCCTCTCCACTCATTCTTTCAACAAGCATTTGTTGAGCTCCCACTGTACGCTCGGCTCTATCCTTGGTGCTGAGAAGACAGAAGGGAAGACTGTGCCTGAGCATCTTGTCCACCCTCAGAGGTGGGCCACCTCCTGGAGCACACAGTCATTACCCTGAGAGCTCCTTGGGGGTGGCATGGCCAGGAGCACAGGCTCTGCCCATAGGACCTGGCAGAGCCTACAGGACTCTGTTAGATTATCATTAATCCTGAGCCTTAATCAGCTGACATACCCACCACAGGCCCGAGCACAGGGGCAGCAGTGTGCCTGAGCTCGCACCTCACTCCCAGGACACCCCTGGGATCGGACCCAGGAGGCCTGGTTCTCCTCGCTCCTGGTTCACTTGCTTCCTGGGTCTCCCGATGTCATCAGTCTGCCCTTGTCTGTGTCTCACCCCCTGGGACCCAGGATATCTCCTCTGCCCAAGGATAGGTCGTGGAACTCAGCTCTGTCAAAAGGCTGACTAGGGCTGCAATATTTTCTTTCCCTGAATGTTAATATGCTGACGCTAAGGGGACTTGAAACCATGTATGTCATCGGAGGAAGGGTTTAGAAGGGCATGGGCGGCTTTGCCTGGAGAAGACTGGAAGGGGACATGAGAGCTGTCAGCAGGGATTTGGAGGCCTGTCATGTGGCAGAGGGAGCCAACTTGTTCCCAGCAGCTCCAGAGGGCAAGCCTAGGACCATGAGGGAAAGTTCTAGGGAGACAGATTCAGCTCAGCACGAAGCGCAGCAGCCCCCCCAACAATGCCCATCCTGGAGGGCCTGTCTCCTGCAGAAGCAGCTTCCTGTCACCAACAGGGCCGCGTGGGGTGTTGTGCATTGATGGGGCCTGACCTCATGACTTCTGAGGCCCCTCCAGCCTGAGACACAATGATTCCATGCTCTGGGAATAGTTTCACTCTGGCTGGCAGGTGAGAACATGCTTGTTCCCCTTGATGGCAACATCGCATGTTGGCTGAGGATATTGTGTCACTTTTACTCACAGCATCAATGCAATTTACAATGGCAGGTGTTTGCCTCACCCTAGCTTCAGGGGCTGTCCAAGGGATGCTGGGGGATCTGGGGAGAGAGGTCAGCTGCCTGAAAGATGATAGCATCTGCCATGCTGCAGGGGACCCCAGGGTCACAGATCCGGGGGGGCTCTCAACATTCTGTAGCAACACATCCCTTTGTTCGGTCGTCTGCAAAACCCCAAGATGTGAAACAGGGAATTGATGCTGCTTTGGTTGAAGAGAACTTGAGGGACCACAGCCTCATCTACTCAGCATCACTTCTGTGTCCCTTGAGAAATTTCTGGGAACCTTAGGTGTTCCCAAAAGCACACAAAGCAAAGAGCTTACTCTGAGCCAGACTGCCTGGGTTTGAACCCTGGCTCGACCACTTACTATCTGAATGACCTTAGACAAGGTACTTGACCCTTCTGTGCCTCAGTTTCCCCATTTATAAAATGGGGATAATCATAATGCTTACTTCAGTTGCTGTGAGGACTAAGTTGTTACCTCATGTGGAATATCAGAGTAAGAAAGGGTCAGCTCTTGCACAGATGAAGGCGTTGACCTCCGAGAGGTTGAGTGCCTTGCCCATGGCTACACAGCTGGTAGTGGCCAGAATAGGGCCTCAGCCTAGTTATCCTAGACTGCAAGCCCAGTACTCATTCTGAAAGCCACGGAATGCTCACTGCTTAAACGCGAGTTCCCTGGGCCTCTGGGGACCATTCCAAGGGTGCCCACTGGCTTCTGGGATTGACAGGCTCTGTCCTCAGGGTCTCTCCAGCTTAGAGCAGAGGCTGAGAAGCAGCTTTTGAAAAGGGCCTTGTTTGGCAGAGAGAGTAGGGAACTCCAGGGAGGTGACCCCTCAGAGAATTGCCCCATGGCCAGAGGGGTTTGTGTGTGTGTAGAGGAACCCACCCAGAGAACAGCCTCCTATCACAGCCACACAGCTACCAGATCATGAGCTTGCTAGCACTCCCTCTGATCCTGCCCCTCCCCTGTTCACAAACCCTCCATAGCTCCTATTGCCTACAGAACACAACAAGCCCCTTAGCCTGAAAGACAAGCCCCTTCCCCATCAGGCCCTACTCTCATTTCCAGCCTGGTTTCCATACTTCATTCCCCATAACCTAGTCCAGCTCCTCAGACAACATGCCTGACACTTCTCACCACCTCCTTGCCTTTGCTCTTGCTGTTCCCTCTGCCCAGAATGTCCTACCCTCTCTCACCCCCATTCCCCAGACCACACCAAATAACCTCTCCTCAGGGAAGCCTTCCCAGATAGCTCCCTAGTCCGGTGAATACTTTTTCATTCATGCTCCCAGAGCCCTCTGTTTGCACCTGAGACAAAACTAACACCAACAACCCCAGTAATCATATTTATCTATTGAGTGCTAAAAACAGTCCCATGGATTGGATGCCATTTTTATCTGAAGGAGAAAATGGAGACACAGTGGTTAGGACACTTGTCCAAGGCCACACAGCTATGAAGAAGTAGAGGCTTGTCAACTCCAATTGAAAAATAAATTTAAATTTAAAAATAATTTTTTTAAAAATAAAATAATTTTTAAAAATGGGGCAGAGGTTGTACTCACAGTTGGGTCCTTTCTCAGGTATTTTGGAGTCTGGAGCCCCAAGCTGGTGTCCTGCCCCTCACTGGTTCTGGGGCACCCAACATGCTAAGAAATAATTAGCTGGATTATTGCCTGTCCCCGGTGCCTCATGGTAGATTCTCAATGGCTAGTGGTTGAAGAAAGCTCAACCCAAGGATGGAATTTACTTTATTGAAAAGGGAGTTCAACAAAGGAAGGTGGGGGGTCACTTGCTTTCCCTACCACCCTGCCCCCTCCCTCCACCTCCTGCCAACCCTTCCAGTGGGGCAGGGGCAGTTCCTGTGGAGAGTGCTGGGAAAATTACAGGCCCTCTTCCCTGAAGTCACACTTGCCTATCTCCTTTACCACAGCCCTGAGTTTGGGGGCCCTGGTGACCTACCCTGTGGAATTATGGCCGTCACTCTCCGCAGTCATCTGCCCCACCTCCCCCCTTCCTGGGAAGCCTGGAGATTAAAGGTGGAGGCCTCCCATTTGGCCTGAGAACTTTGGCAAATGTGCTGCTGTTCCGCCTGGGGGCGAGGGGGAAGGGCAGGATCAGGCCTTTGGTTTTTCCTCATCAGAGCTCCCAGGTGCTGTGGGCAGTGAGGTTGACAGTGAACTGGCTACAGGGGCCTCCTGGGGGCTGAGGCTGTGGACTCTGGACAAGAGGAAGTTTAGTTGACCTGGCAGGTAGATAGAAGGGGGCAGGTGAGGGTGGCCTTTTCCCACAGCTGGGAGGCTCAGGAAATCTGGAAGGGGGGGAGCCAAGCAGGATTCTAGGGAGAGCAGGTAGAGAACCAGGTTCCCAGGGCTCTGGAGTGGTGATGAGAGGGAGCCCCAAGGGCCCTGAGAGCTGGGGTGACCTCTGGGCCCTCCTCCTGAGGCCCACAGCACAGCAAGAGGACTGGAGCCCAGAAGCTAAAACCACAGGAACCAGGACCAGACAGCTATCATCAACTCTTAATTACCATCATCACAGGCACCAAAAAAAACCCCATGCAGGCTCCTCTGTAAATAAACAGTGTCTCCTTGACTTTAGGATGCATCCCAGTGCGCACATATTTACAGAGCATGTGTGATCTATGCCGTTCTCACTCGACTCCTTCACATGATCATTTCCTATCAAATTCTGCCTTCCTTATGTTTGGTTTGGGCTCATGTTTACAACCACCTGTAGGAAGGCAGGGAGGAAGTTTAATCTGCATTGCAGGGGAGAAAACTGAGTGGTTATGTGACTCCTCCGAAGCCACACAGCGAGCAAGAGGCAGCATTTGCACAGAAAGCTGGAATTTTCCTCCCAGGGCAGGTCCATGAAGATTTCCATTCCTGAAGTATAGGACCTCTGAGCTCTTGGAATGGAAGCTGCTGGGATTGCCCTGTGAGCAGTTAAGGAGACTGCACACAACTCGCTCAGGGACTAAGGGATGGGAGGGCAGGGTGTGCAGAGGCCAGCTGGGTGGGCTTCAGCCCAAGGAAAGCTGGGCTAAAGAGGCTGAGGGCTGATCAGAGGGCTTTAGAGGTTTCCTCTTTGACTCTACCTTTGGCTGTTGAGTCTTGACCAGACCCGAGGGTCTGTTAGTGCCCACAGAGCGATTGTAGGAGCTAATAATAACCCTTTGGGCAAATTCGGCTAGAGCTGTGCCTCGAAGTATGGGAGGAAGGCCTTGAAGAAGCAGTGGCTATTTTAGGGGGATTTGAAGGGCCTGTGGAGCCTGGCTGGGCTAGGGACACACTGGATTCTCCCTTAGAGGATGTCAAGTTTGGGGGATGGTAGGGATCCCATGGGCTCACACAGGGCCCATGCAGGAACAGACCAGGAGAGATGTCAACTGGGCACAATTCCCCCATTTTACAGATGAGAAAACTGAGGCACAGAGAGGGGAAAAGCCTTCCTAGGGTCAGCGAGTGGAACAGGACTCAGAGCTTCCAGTTTGAGGGCCAGATGGAAAGGCAGGGTGGTGGTTCTGGGGACTCTGGGCAGAAGGAGGGTGGCTGGCCTTGGCCAATGAGGGTCTGACCTGTGCATGTCCTCCCCAGGGGCGCCCACCCGCGATGTCCTGCTGGTCTCCGCCATCATCACCGTCAGCCTTAGCGTCACTATCATACTCTGCGGCCTCTGCCACTGGTGTCAACGCAAACTGGTGAGGCTCGAGGGCCCCGCGGGCGGGGCCTGGCCCTGTACCCCGCCCCCCGCAGTTATAGGCCCGTGAACGCCCCCGAGGGCGCGCGCAGATACCCCGCCCGCGCACAGTCGCTTAGAAATGCGCACCGCAGGCGCCGCTGCCTTTGCCGGGGTGGTGGCCCCGCAAGTCTGCGCTACACGCAGAGCCACACGCCTCGGGACGTTCGCGGGTAGACACGGGTCTCACGGCATTCTCCCGCGCGCAGCTGCACGCACCCCGCCCCACCTCCCGCAGGAAGAGCCGCGGGCACACGCGCCGCCTGAGAATCGGGCCTCCCCGGGCTGGGCGGGGCCGAGC